ACGTATATTGAGGTACATCTTTTAATATGTTGACCTACATATAATACACATCCTTTACGTATATTGTGTTACATCTTTTAATATGTTGAACTACATATAATACACATCCTTTACGTATATTGAGGTACATCTTTTAATATGTTGACCTTCATATAATACACATCCTTTACGTATATTGTGGTACATCTGTTAATATGTTGACCTACATATATAATACACATCCTTAACGTATATTGAGGTACATCTTTTAATATGTTGACCAACATTTATAATACACATCCTTTACGTATATTGTGGTACATCTTTTAATATGTTGACCTACATATAATAAACATCCTTTACGTGTATTGTGGTACATCTGTTAATATGTTGACCTACATATAATACACATCCTTTATGTATATTGTGGTACATCTTTTAACATGTTGACCTACATATATTACACATCCTTAACGTATATTGAGGTACATCTTTTAATATGTTGACCTACATATATAATACATATCCTTAACGTATATTGTGGTACATCTTTTAATATGTTGACCTACATATATAATACATATCCTTAACGTATATTGTGGTTCATCTTTTAATATGTTGACCTACATATATAATACACATCCTTTATGTATATTGAGGTACATCTTTTAATATGTTGACCTACATATATAATACATATCCTTAACGTATATTGTGGTACATCTTTTAATATATTGACCTACATATATAATACACATCCTTTACGTATATTGTGGTACATCTTTTAATATGTTGACCAACATTTATAATACACATCCTTTACGTATATTGTGGTACATCTGTTAACATGTTTACCTACCTATATAATACACATCCTTTACGTATATTGTGGTACATCTGTTAATATGTTGACCTACATATATAATACACATCCTTTACGTATATTGTGGTACATCATTTAATATGTTGAACTACATATAAAACACATCCTTTACGTATATTGTGGTACATCTGTTAACATGTTGACCTCCTACATATAAAATACACATCCTTTACGTACATTGTGGTACATCTTTTGATATGTTGACCTTCATATAATACACATCCTTTCCGTATATTGTGGTACATCTTTTAATATGTTGACCAACATTTATAATACACATCCTTTACGTATATTGTGGTACATCTTTTAATATGTTGACCTACATATATAATACACATCCTTTACGAATGTTGTGGTACATCTGTTAACATGTTGACCTACATATAAAATACACATCCTTTACGTACATTGTGGTACATCTTTTGATATGTTGACCTTCATATAATACACATCCTTTACGTATATTGTGGTACATCTTTTAATATGTTGACCTACATATAATACACATCCTTTACGTATATTGTGGTACATCATTTAATATGTTGACCTTCATATATAATACACATCCTTAGCGTATATTGTGGTACATCTTTTAATATGTTGACCTACATATATTGTGGTACATCTGTTAATATGTTGACCTACATATAATACACATCCTGTACGTATATTGTGGTACATCTGTTAACATGTTGACCTACATATATAATACACATCCCTATGTATATTGTGGTACATCTTTTAATATGTTGACCTACATTTATAATACACATCCTTTACGTATATTGTGGTACATCAGTTAACATGTTGACCTACATATAATACACATCCTTTATGTATATTGTGGTACATCTTTTAACATATTGACCTACATATAATACACATCCTTTACGTATATTGGGGTACATCTGTTAATATGTTGACCTACATATAATACGCATCCTTTACGTATATTGTGGTACATCTTTTAATATGTTGCCCTACATATAATACACATCCTTTACGTACATTGTGGTACAGCTTTTAACATGTTGACCTACATATATAATACACATCCCTATGTATATTGTGGTACATCTTTTAATATGTTGACCTACATATAATACACATCCTGTACGTATATTGTGGTACATCTGTTAATATGTTGACCTACATATATAATACACATCCTTTACGAATGTTGTGGTACATCTGTTAACATGTTGACCTACATATAAAATACACATCCTTTACGTACATTGTGGTACATCTTTTAACATGTTGACCTACATATATAATACTCATCCTTTACGTATATTGTGGTACATCAGTTAACATGTTGACCTACATATAATACACATCCTTTAGGTACATTGTGGTACATCTTTTAACATGTTGACCTACATATCATACACATCCTTTACGTATATTGTGGTACATCTCTTAATATGTTGACCTACATATATAATACACATCTTTTATGTATATTGTGGTACATCTGTTAACATGTTGACCTACATATAATACACATCCTTTCTGTATATTGTGGTACATCTGTTAACATGTTGACCTACATATAAAATACACATCCTTTACGTACATTGTGGTACATCTTTTGATATGTTGACCTTCATATAATACACATCCTTTACGTATATTGTGGTACATCATTTAATATGTTGACCTACATATAATACACATCCTTTATGAATATTGTGGTACATCTTTTAACATGTTGACCTACATATCATACACATCCTTTACGTATATTGTGGTACATCTGTTAACATGTTGACCTACATATAATACACATCCTTTACGTACATTGTGGTACATCTTTTAACATGTTGACCTACATATATAATACACATCCTTTACGTATATTGTGGTACATCAGTTAACATGTTGACCTACATATAATACACATCCTTTACGTACATTGTGGTACATCTTTTAACATGTTGACCTACATATAATACACATCCTTTATGAATATTGTGGTACATCTTTTAACATGTTGACCTACATATATTACACATCCTTTACGTATATTGTGGTACATCTGTTAACATGTTGACCTACATATATAATACACATCCCTATGTATATTGTGGTACATCTTTTAATATGTTGACCTACATATAATACATATCCTTTATGTATATTGTGGTACATCTGTTAACATGTTGACCTACATATAATACACATCCTTTACGTATATTGTGGTACATCTGTTAACATGTTGACCTACATATATGATACACATCCCTATGTATATTGTGGTACATCTGTTAACATGTTGACCTACATATGATACACATCCTTTACACCTATACGGAGATAGTGAGAGTGTTGAGTCTTGCTTTATAAATGATATATTGCTTGTCATGAAGTGTTTGTGATGGTTCATGATTTAGACAAATATCTAAGGAATTGGAACATCTCACATGTTGTGTTGTTGTTGCAGACACCTGATGATAAAGCAAAGATTGGCAATACCCCGTACACCGGTCCAAACAACCTAACCGAGGGACCATTCTACATCAGCCCTAAGGAGGGATTCCCTGTCAACTTCTACAAGGACGGCAACACTGTAGTACCAGCAGTCATGGTTGGCTTCAACAATCTCATGATCACCAGAAACACCTACATCACCATCAAGTGTGTGGCCTGGGCCAAAAACTTCAACAATGGGGATCCTGCCAGCTCTATTGCATACACAACAACATTCAATTTCCACCTCAGCTGAGGCAGCAGGCATGGAGACGACCTGTTGTTACCAGTCTTCACCGACAGCCTTGTAGGGGCACTAACCCTCACACTTCATCTCATCCCAAGGCAAAGATCACTTCTTTCTAGATCAGTTAAACTGAAATATTGGATTAAATATCTAGTTCTCGATTAGTTCTCATGATTATGTGAAGATTTAAAGTACAAACAATGGTATTGAATACTTGTTTGATCCAATTTTTTGTCTGTGTCCATTTAAAAAAATCTGAATCATTGAGGAAAAATTTGTGTAAGATATTTTTTCCTATATTTATGAATATGAAATGTTACCAGTGTCGTTCTCATCCAGTAATGTTCTCGTCATAATGTTTACAGCGACCCACACTAGTTCTAATCATTGAAAACTTAAGAATCTCTTTCCTTCTCCGTCTTAATGACTAGGTTTGATACCTCTAAAGGTATTAATTGCCTTTACCTTGTGTCTATGAGATATTCAACAAACTAAATATACATTCCATACTCGTACTTTTAATTGTGTCTTAATACAAGTCTGTCGGTGGGTACCCTATAAAGTTGATATATGTTATACACCCTCAAGTTAGTGTCAAGTTCTGTGACCACTTGACCGAGTCACATATTAACTACACAAATTTGCAGTCAATTAGTAGAACCAGATAGATGGTGTGTTAGATTGTGTATTAGCCAAAGTGTATATAAGGTCCGTAGGTATGACTGAAGACTGCGGAGAACACACGTTAACTGATTTACTGTGGTTGACTAGATGTCACGTTGACTAGATGTCACATTGACTAGATGTCACATTGACTAGATGTCACGTTGACTAGATGTCAACGAGTCCTTTTCAATTCATTTTTTACTCTCTTTTTTTTTAGGCGAAATTATGAACTTTTTCACACATTCATTATGAATAAAACAGAGATATGCTCATTATTAATCATTTAACTTGCATTTAAATCAATACTTACACTATTAAGGAGGTTATGACTTGCCTCTATAATTATGTGGGGATTTAAAGAATTCCAAACTATCCACTAAATGGATGTTTTTAAATGTCAAGTCTGTATATCTTTTCATTCTTCCAAAGTGACATCTTTAATTTCTTGAACTTTTTTATCATCATGTTGGAAAGTTACTGTTTGAGATGTATAATCATATTGTGAACAGAGATATCCATATAAGGCAATTACATTTTTTGGAAATGTAATTTATTAACAAAATTGTAGCCTAGTATGAAACTGAAGTGTATGTGATCAATGTTATATGTTACTCATTGTGTTATTTTGTACAGACCTTTTCTGGAGAAAGAGAGGCTCAGTGAGAACAATAGGTACTAAAATACCGATATTATCATGTTTTTTATCATCTGTGTGTAACTTTCATCTCCATGCTCTGTAAACTGATTCAACAGTCACTTGACGTTCATTTGTGTTAGTTTGTAATAGCAGTTTCCTAATTGATCACAATTTTTTCTGCGATTTTACTGTCATTGATGTGTGTGTGAAATCACCTGATAATGTACTAGATATATGTGAATGGTATTTGTATATTGTTGAGAACTAATAAATAAACATGCAGGTTCTAAGTTTTCCGATGGAGCCATCACATGTATGTATGATAGGGTTTGTATTATCCAGGATGATTTATAGTGATACTATTACATGTGTCAATACAAGGTGTACTGTATCATTTAACATCACATTAAAAGGATGTTTTAGATGAACACTTTTTGACATTTACATAAAATCTGGTTATTATAGAGAATGACAATTGTCTTCTCATTTATTCTAATTAGAAATTCATGAAAATATTCAAATTAAAATTTTCAACTTTTACCATGGGTCAAAACTCATAAAATGCCTGTATAAGTAACAGTAAAATTGATTTTTAAACAAAAAAAGTATCACAATTAGTGTTTTGTTCGGCCTTAATATATGGGTATGATAAAATAATTGTCCTGTGATTTTTGGTACACACTCGGTTAACAATTCCTAGATAATTGGAATGGATGTTATATTGTAACTACAGCTAGTTGTACTGAAGTAGTATCTGCAGATGGTTCTACTGATGTTATCATGTTCAAGTTTTGTTTTGAAGGTTGTTTTAACTCTATTGTTATATAAACTTAAACATTCACTGGCATATCATGGTTATGTAAGGGTTGAACTGTCATGTAGACTACATTTCTCACTGTCATAAACAGTGGTCATGGGTTGGAAGTATTGTACATGTGTCGTTGTCATTAGTCCCTTCTAAAATAGTCTGTAATATTACAATTATTTCTAACCACTCTGATTTTTTGTTGTAAACTGAAATAAATTCAATTGTTTTGTTCATTAAAACTTTATCCTGAAGATGTTTAGTTTGCTGTTTAGATAATGCCATAATTCAGAGTCTAGAATCAAGATTTGACAGAATTTGAACCTGTTATTTCCCTTAGTGGTACACATGGTCACCAATGATCCGACAGTGTATTTAACTGGTGACAGAATTTCAACCTGTTATTTCCCTTAGCGGTACACATGGTCACCAATGGTCTGACAGTGTATTTAACTGGTGACAGAAATCGAATGATCTTAGAAATGAACATTTTTGTAATCATGATATTTTTGATTTCCTACATTCCACTTGGAATATATTTTGTTTTTAAGATTTTAATATATATATACCTGGAGTATGTTGATGTGTTCTGTCCATGTATACATTCCTTTATCTAACGATCCATCATGACTGGAAAAAAAATTCCATAGAAATAACATATCGGTGTGTAATTCAGGTATACAAGAATTGAGGTTATTTATAAACACTTTTTGATATTGCTGTAATCCAATTTATATCCATAAGAAATAAATTATCAGCTTTGTATATTGATATATCCTATATATATATATATTCACAAATAAATGAAAATTTGTTCTGTAAGGAACAAATAAACATCTGCCTTTTGATATTTTGAGCCTAAAATCGATCATTTTGAAATCTGTTATCTAATGGGAAGTATTTTTTTAATGGAGAGACTATTGTGTTTTCTTTGGTCCCTGACAGCTTCACCCACGTGCCTTACCCTCCACAGGGCTCATACTTAAGGTCCATTGTTGCTGTTTAAATATAATTGTGAAAAAAGTAGCTATGAAATTTATTAAATACCTTGTTGAAATAATTTGAAGGAACAAAATCTGTGACATTTTGTTTTCACAGCTTGGCGTACAGGGCCTTTTTTATCGTGATGTTCTTGCTGTAAGTGCAGTTGTTTCCAGGTTAACTCAGATTTAGGGGACTGAGAAGCTGCTAGAGATCTAGGCCAAAATTCTCATAAACTCATATCTCGGAGATACAAGTCCATCTCTTTTTTAACTGAAGCAGTAGAATCTTTAGCAGTGAAGTTGTCATCTTTTATCTTAAGATTAGGTGATGTCAGTACCCTGTAGTTTTGTATGTATGAGATAATTGTTCTCCTACCCTGGACAGGTCTATTCCTACTTTTTGTGAGGTGAGATTGTCTCACCCTAGGGTTTAGATGAAGGGATTCCCCAGTCAATGAGATTTCCTTGTCTCACCCTAGGGTTTAGATGAAGGGATTCCCCAGTCAATGAGATTTCCTTGTCTCACCCTAGGGTTTAGATGAAGGGATTCCCCAGTCAATGAGATTTCCTTGTCTCACCCTAGGGTTTAGATGAAGGGATTCTATTTAGTCTGTAAAGTAAAGACAAAGAGTAAGGTAAAAGGAGCGTTGAAGTGTAGGCTCTGTTGGTGATGAGATGATGAACTTGATCGTATAGTTTAGTCCCATAGACAAAGAGTAAGGTGAAAGGAGCGTTGAAGTATAAGGCCTTGTGTTGGTGATGAGATGATGAACTTGATTGTATAGTTTAGTCCCATCCTGGTAGTGTTGGTGTTGTGATGATGTGGCCGGAGACTTGTCCAGGAGTGGTTAGTCCCGTTCTGATATTAGTGCCATGCAAACAATGATCTGTAGATATGTCCTACAATAATTGTAATAGTGATTTCTTAGTGTAAAAGTATTTTGTTTATACAATGTGACATGGTCATAAACAATCTCAGATAGAACACTATGTATACTTGTCAACATAGGCACTGCAATAGGGTGTATCAGAATCACACACTGATGTCATTAGAAATAATTAAAGTCAATATTTTACTGATTAGTTGTCTTACCAGATCAAACCTCAGTACCCTTACTGAGTGATGAACTGTTTCTATTTGACCTAGTTTTATTCTAGATTGGTTAAAACCTTATAGCAGTGCCTTTGTAAATGTTTTGTGGTAAATGTATGTATTGAGAAATAATAACATTTTTATAAAATTGTACACACGTCTAAATGTAAAGGTTGTTTGAGTGTTGGTTATGTAGCTAGACCAAGGATTGTTGGTGATGAGTTCCTTGGTGTAGTGTAGCTGTACATTTTAAGCGTATAATGATAGATAAGTTGATACAGTATGTACACATCACTTCTATTTATATTGTTTGTTGGATCTAAATTTTCTCTCTCTCTTCACAGCCAGTTGATCTGCTTTTTGTGATTAACCTTTCCTGTACCTTGTTAAAAAATATCACTTTGCTTTGATACCTGTCATTCCAGTTCTGCTTGTAAAATTCTGTAGTGGTGGTCAAAACTACAGGATGTCCTACTTATTGTATTAGATTTTTTTTATTATCTTTCATTACTGGTTTATGAAATATTGATTTTCAGTTGAGGTTATTTAGCCAAGCTTTGTAAACCATTACAGTTAATCTGTAAAAAATAAATGAATTCCATATTTGAATTTTAGAAATGTATTAAAAAGTTGTTAACAATAACGAACTTTGTATGAAATATTAAGATTTGTTAATGCATTGTACCGTGTGTGTCCTACTTAACTCGGGCAATTAACCGTGAAATTAACAGTAACACAAACTCCTGTGAAAAGACAGCTGTTGGCTGTCCATAACTAGGTCATTAAATACATCCCTTTCCAATTAAAACTAAACTGAGTCTTTCTCCCAGGTGTTATTAAGCGTTACGTTGTGTAGTCGACTATTTAGTTTCTGGTGATGGGGTGTGGTGGGCTTCACAGTGCTCCTCGGGTCACATGGAAGGATTCTACATTATTAGAAGTGATATACTTACAGTGTACTACACTAACTTAATATCAGGGACAGGTATCCGTCACAATACAGGAAAAACATAAACGAGAAATACCACAGGTAACCCTACATTCCAATTATGATTTATCATGTTTAGGATATTTCTAGAGCCATTGATATTTCAGTATGTGTACAGTATAGATATACTGCCACCATCTGTCCAGTGTTATTATCACATGATCAAGGGGTTTGGTGATATAACAGGATTTGGCAATTTAAGGAAGTTTGATGTTATCAGCTGGTTTTGTGATATAAAGGGTTTGTTGAGATATATTGGGACATTTAGACAGGAAGTGATAATGAAATGGGGATATCGAAATGTATAGGAAGTGAGCTGGAAAATAATGTAAAGAGCATCTAGATTTAGAGGTGTACCATTGATCTGATAATGATGTCTGTGTTACCATACTGACAAATCTTAACTAGCACGAATTACAAACTGTCCAGTTAAAACAGGTAAACTGAACTACAAACTGTCATGTGAAAATTCTTCCTCGTACAATACTGCAAACTGTTTGATTAATTTTTTTACTACTTGTAGTACAATACTACAAACTGTCCTGTTCAAATCCTTTCTAGTAGATGTGCTCTAAGATGTCAGCTGTTCAGATAATTACCAGGAGGAGTGAAGCTCTATGATAGTAAAATGTTGACGTGTACCAGTTAATGAACTGTACACACAGTTGCCCTGATTTAACATGTTGAAGAACAACCTTGTGACCACGAAGGTCTGTGATTTTGTATACCATGCTAACTCTTTAATAGATTGTTTTAAATGTATGTAATTCAATTTTTATGATTCCTTTAATGTGCAAATCTTAAAGCTGCAATAAAAAGATTATCTATTGTTTGTCCCTGTGTTTGTTTGTTTGTATACAATCTATCTAGGTTGATATGTAGGTAAACTGTAATGTACATTACATCTGACAGACCTGTGAGCTGATGACTTGTCTATGGAGTACCAGACCTCTATGAGCTGATGACTTGTATTATATTGAGTAATTCTGACAGACCTCTGTGAGCTGATGACTTGTATTATATGCCATACCGTGGCGTCCGTCCGTCAACAATTTCTTTAAATGACTTCTTCTTCTTAACCACTGATTGGAATTTAACTAAATTTGACTGGAAGCATTCCTAAGTGGTAGGGATTCAAAATTGTACAAATGGTGGGTCTGACCCCCAAGGGGGCTGAGGGGCGGGGTCAAAAGGGGGCAATTTGGCTATATTGCTTTAAGCGACTTCTTTTTTGGAACTAAGAGATGGATATCAACCATATTTGACTGGAAGCATTCCTAGGTGGTGGGGATTCAAAATTGTACAAATCTTGGGGCTGAGGGGCGGGGCCAATTTGGCTATATTGCTTTAAGCGATTTCTCTGGAACTAAGAAATGGATATCAACCATATTTGACTGGAAGCATTCCTAGGTGGTGGAGATTCAAAATTGTACAAATTTTGGGGCTGACCCCCAGGCTAAGGGGTGGAGCCAAAATAAGTTTAGCACTTGGAAATGGTTGAGATCCCCACCGTATAACCATATATAGAATTGCTGAGTATGAAGAGAAGAATGCACAGTTGCTTCCAGGATGGCCCTAGGGTCTCGCCCCACCCTTGGAGACATAGTCCCTGGGTCATAACTTTCAAACGGTTGAGATCCCCACCCCAAAACTATATATACAATTGTTGGGCATAAGAGACAAATGCAGTCATTATATTAGAATTGATCCCAGGGTCTGCCCCACCTTTGCAGACTTAACCCCTGGGTCATAACTTAGAAACGGTTGAGATCCCCACCACAAAACTATAAATACACATGCTGGGCAAAAAGAGTTGAATGAAGTCATGATATTAGAATTGATCCTGGATTGGCCTTGGGGTCTGACTTGTATATGGAGTACATACCTCTGTGAGCTGATGACTTGTATATGGAGTACAGACCTCTGTGAGCTGATGACTTGTATATGGAGTACAGGCCTCTGTGAGCTGATGACTTGTCTATGGAGTACAGACCTCTATGAGATGATGACTTGTATATGGAGTACATACCTCTGTGAGCTGATGACTTGTCTATGGAGTACAGACCTCTGTGAGCTGATGACTTGTATATGGAGTACAGACCTCTGTGAGCTGATGACTTGTCTATGGAGTACAGACCTCTGTGAGCTGATGACTTGTATATGGAGTACAGACCTCTGTGAGCTGATGACTTGTCTATGGAGTACAGACCTCTGTGAGCTGATGACTTGTATATGGAGTACAGACCTCTGTGAGCTGATGACTTGTCTATGGAGTACAGACCTCTGTGAGCTGATGACTTGTATATGGAGTACAGACCTCTGTGAGCTGATGACTTGTCTATGTAGTACAGACCTCTGTGAGCTGATGACTTGTATATGGAGTACAGACCTCTGTGAGCTGATGACTTGTCTATGGAGTACAGACCTCTGTGAGCTGATGACTTGTATATGGAGTACAGACCTCTGTGAGCTGATGACTTGTCTATGTAGTAGAGGGTATCCCTCTGGACAGAACTTAGTGAGCTGGACAAAGTTTGTTAATTATACCCTGATCAGTTTGGTGTTAATATTACGATGGAATTATTTTCAGAAATACGAACTGTACACCAGATTAACAGAGAAATCTGTTTATGATACAGAATATCTATATGAAACTGGTATGGGCTAGAAAAGTCTTGAAAACTATTCTAGTAAGCTAAAGCATAACAAAGAAATGTAAAATATCTTGCAAGTTAAGAGAAATTCCCAACCAGTTTGGTCATATATCACAAGTAAATATGATCAATAACAAGGTAACACCCATTAAAGGACAAAGAATTCAATACTTTTTTTTTTTTTTTTTAATTTGCATTAAAACAGGCACTTTTAACAAGTATTTCGCTCCACTATACAACTTATCTCACAGCATTCACACAACAATCCTCTGTCACCACATCTATCATGTCTCCCTCGAAATATATCCTACACTATCGTACATGTACAACCAAGTCACTGACCTGGTCATAAGACAATCTCTTCATACAAATATAAAACTGTGGTTAAAAAATTCAAAATACTAAAGTACCCATGAGTAATCAAAGCTTGGACCTTTTATGTAGCTCTGACTTTGGTCCGGATGTTTGATACAGCTTGTACACTGATTACATATGTCTATAGTGTTATAAGTGTACATTTAACCTGTATGTACATCTGTCTTTACTGTAACAAACAGCCGTCTGGCTTTCTGGCTTTATAGTAACAAATCGCATCTGTCTCCTTAGATGATATTGTTTGATGTTTTAAGCATTTTTGGCCCATCACACGTACTTGCTGCACAATATCAGAATCCTGGGCCTCACAGAATTTACGCAGATTCTAAAAGCTTTTCACAGGGTCTATTATATCCCATGCTGTTTTTGACCCAAGCCAACTCTCAAAGGTCACCTTTCATCTGAACACGATATATCATAAAAAGATTCCTACTGCTAATCTTCAAAACAATTATCATGTTTCCAGACCTAATGCTTAGTTAGAAATTGATCATTTAAATGTTAACATATCTGACACCTCTGTTAACATAAACAAGCAGTAGCTCTGTACTTCTAGCTTTACAGTAAAAATTTGGTTATACATGGGGCCTGTTCGTTTATGCGGAACAACCAGTTTGACCGTTTATAAATGTGCCATTTTCGGGTATAAATCCAAGCGGACCTGCAAATGTTTATGCAGGCCTTGCAAAGCTTTGTCAAGGCTCGCCTGAAAGCAGCTTCAGATTACTAGGTCCGACCTTTTTTAATAAACATACAACAGTGATCCGACCGGTTTGACCGTTTAAACGAAAACGGCCCTGTAGTCTGCTTATTGTTTTACTGTTGATATTGTATTCTAACTCTACAGTAACAATAGTAGTCAATGTCTCTGCACTTCTGACTCTACAGTAACTATCAGTTACCGTCACTGTCCTACCTTATCAACTGCTTGTATGTAGAGAGAAGGCTAATGTGTACCTTAGAATAATCAACACTGTCCAGCAGTAATGTCCCTTTGTTAACAGATCATCTTGATTTGGTGATCTCTTTGACATGCACTTGATGACCCCAGATTGTACTTCATTCATTTGTTCGTTGATTATGATGTGTCCTCCGTCCACTACAATAGTCCTGTCTCAGATCTTTTGAAGGCCTGAGATGCAACTCCTGGCCAAATATGTCCTTGGAGAACTTTGAACAAATGTGTCCTTGGCGAACTGTTAACAAATATACAGTTGATGACCTTGACTTCAGTCCCAGTACTTGATGATCCCGTCCCAGCCTGCTGTCGCAACCTTGGAGGTTTCATGTGGGTGCCACAGAACACTGATACACACATCATCATGGGCCTTGAACTTAGTGTAAAGTTTGGTGGTCTTCCAGTCCCACACATACAACTTTCCATCTGCATCCCCAGAAATGATGTAACTGTAAACAAAAGCACAACTTTTAAAGCAACAATGACGACAAGTAGGACACATCAGGGACAACCTTTACTTTACTGTAGAGACCAGTGACACCATTTACTGTACTGGAGAGATCAGGGACAACCTTTACTGTACTGTAGAGATCAGTGACACCCTTTACTGTACTGTAGAGACCAGGGACAACCTATACTTTACTGTAGAGACCAAGGACAACCTTTACTTTACTGTAGAGACCAGGGACAACCTTTACTGTACTGTAGAGATCAGTGACACCCATTACTGTACTGTAGAGACCAGGGACACCCTTTACTGTACTGTAGAGACCAGGGACACCCATTACTGTACTGTAGAGATCAGTGACACCCTTTACTGTACTGTAGAGACCAGGGACAACCTTTACTTTACTGTAGAGACCAAGGACAACCTTTACTTTACTGTAGAGACCAGGGACAACCTTT